TCCCTGCAGCCTCTACAGAAAACAACTATCTCTATCTTAAGAAAGGGCCCCACTGAAGCCACCAACGTCGATAGCGTCTTTTTAGCAGTCAGATGTTCTCAGCGACAAAGCTCGTTCCCATGCATGCTAACTTGGGCGAGCTGTGCAGAACACTTGCCTCAGCTGCAAGCGCGCGTAAAAACCCAGCAAATTTGGCTCCGATTCTCCTGCCACGCACACGCCACCGAACACCAGAAAGGAAGTGGGCCGATCCTCCACCGGGACTTCCGCTGGCAGATAGAAAAAGGGGCCTGGACCACAGCGGGGATGGGCCAAAGGTAGAATAGATAGCTAGGGATTGGTGGGAGCTAGAGGGGAGGAAAGGATAGGAGGGGAAGGGTGAATTCTTAGAAAGAATCACCTATCCGCAGTCTTCTTTTGCTATATTGGCTTACACAACGCAATCATTCACTCGCCCTATTTCCAGAAGACATTTATGTGTATGCTAATTATTTCGTGGGTCCACCTAGGACCCGGATAATATATGCTTATGGCGGAAGTGCACAACTATCTCTATCTTAAGAAAGGGCCCCACTGAAGCCACCAACGTCGATAGCGTCTTTTTAGCAGTCAGATGTTCTCAGCGACAAAGCTCGTTCCCATGCATGCTAACTTGGGCGAGCTGTGCAGAACACTTGCCTCAGCTGCAAGCGCGCGTAAAAACCCAGCAAATTTGGCTCCGATTCTCCTGCCACGCACACGCCACCGAACACCAGAAAGGAAGTGGGCCGATCCTCCACCGGGACTTCCGCTGGCAGATAGAAAAAGGGGCCTGGACCACAGCGGGGATGGGCCAAAGGTAGAATAGATAGCTAGGGATTGGTGGGAGCTAGAGGGGAGGAAAGGATAGGAGGGGAAGGGTGAATTCTTAGAAAGAATCACCTATCCGCAGTCTTCTTTTGCTATATTGGCTTACACAACGCAATCATTCACTCGCCCTATTTCCAGAAGACATTTATGTGTATGCTAATTATTTCGTGGGTCCACCTAGGACCCGGATAATATATGCTTATGGCGGAAGTGCTGAGTGATGAGAGGAGAGGAGACTGCAAAAGCGAGCAGTGTGCAAGAGGTACAAAACCTTTAAAATGTTATGTATATGTGGGTTTATGAAGCAGGTCAATGAAAATTCAGACTTGCATTTGCACAGCCTTACAGAGGAGCTGTCTCTGGGCATACCATGTAGAATGCAATTAGAATAAGAAACAAGGGGTTGAAAATGAGCCTAAGTGTTTGCTATGAGCATGGAGAGGTAGAAAGGCATTTTAAGTGTGACCACTGACTAACTTTGGAAACTGAGTGGATGAAAGTGGGAAATGGAGAGAAGAAGGAGAATACAGATTGGCTCCAAGTTTTCTAGGCTCCAGTCTACCTAGATACCTCATGTATTTCACTCTTTTAGAGCACACTCTGAACTTTAACCACTCTTTTCTTTTGCTATTTCCTCTGCCTGAACTGCCTTTTCTCCCTCCTCCAACTCTCTAAATTCCTTCTGCTGGCTCTCAGGCATCTTTCTCCCTGGAGCCCAAAAGGACTTCTTAGACTAGACTGCCCAGATATGAGTCCATTTTAGGTTTTTGCCCTAGGGCATGTGTGCTTACCTGAGAGAGACAGAGAGGGGGAAACAGAAATCATCCCTTACCCTGCTAGAGAGATGGCTTCATCACAATCCCTTCTCCATTCTCTTCTCAGCATTTTGGACATGCACAAACACACACCCAGTGAGATTTTCAAGCTGCCGGTTCCAGAACTTGAACCAAGGTCAGCCATGTGGGAGTCCAGCACCTTAACTGCCATGCTACCTGCTGGTCCACTTTAAAAAATATATATTATTCAAAATGTTAGCTTGAAGGGAACCAGCAGTTAGCGTAATGGCTATGTCGCTGGACTCCCATGTAGTCGACCACGGTTCATGTCCCGGACCCGGTGGCTTAAAACTCACGCTGGGTGCACGTGCGTGTGTGCCCAAGATCGCGAGAGGAGAATGGAGGAGAAGGGATTGCGGCGTGACCATCCCCTCTCGGGGGTAATTTCTCGCTTTCTGTCTCTATGTCTCTCTCTGTCTGTCTGGCGAGCACACACGCCCTATAGTGAAAACCTCTCAAAAAAAAAAAATTAGCTTGAACAAGTCACTTTACTTCTCTGAGTCTGTTTTCTAATCTCTAAAGGAGGGTTAAAGTATTAGTCTGTTAGTGTTGTGAAAATTAAAGGAGAGAGTAAGTGAAAAGCATTTATCACTTAGTAAACACATACTTTGTCTCTCAAAGTGTTCCAAGCAGTGAGTAAGAGTGGCACTTAATAAATACATGTTGAAGGAATACATGATGGAAAATATTTTAGGTGTGTTCATAACCCAACTTTTAAAAAGCAACTAAATAATTTGGCTGAAAAGAATTAGATTATTGATTAACAGAATCTCAGTTGGCAATCCCACTGAGGGAAGGGTCTTCTGTAGCCCACAGTCTTTGATGTGTCTCAGTCCTTGGTAGAATTTGTGGGTTGAGATATGTATGCACCTGTTGAATGAATTATGGGTTTGGGCAGTGGTTGCCACTAGGAAAACAGAATTGTCAGCTTCAGTTACGCCAGCAAGTTCCAGTCCTGTACGTGTATAGAAGAAGGATGCCTGGTGTAGAACAGACATTGAATTTAGACCTGAGAACATCAGTTCTGACCCAGATTGCATCACTTAACCTGTTTCTTTCCCTCACTTCCAGATCTATGCAAGCCATATCAATGTTTAACTTGTTTCACTTATAAAAATCAAATAGTTCTGGGGACGAGCAGTTAGTGTAATGGCTATGTCACTGGACTCCCACGTAGTCGACCGTGGTTCAAGTCCCGGACCCGGTGGCTTAAACTCATGCCGGGCACGTGTCCATGTGTGCCCAAGATCCTGAGAGGATAATGGAGGAGAAGGGATTGTGGCATTGCAATCCCCCCTGGGGGGTAATTTCTCACTTTCTGTCTCTCTATCTCTCTCTGTCTGGCGAGTGTATGCACCCTATAGCAAAAACCTCTCCAAAAAAAAAAAAAATCAAATAGTTCTGTGTGATTTCCACTTGACTTTTTCTTAACCAACACTGCACTCTCAGCTCATACGTTTAATTCTTTCATTCTAATGGATGAATGGTATTTCCTATATTCATTTTACCATAATCTCTTTAGGAGTGTATACATGGGGAGGGGAGCAATTTATGCTGTATTTCCAAGTTATTTATCTCTTTACCTGTAATGCTCTAATTAAAATTCAGACATTAATGGACCAGCAGTTAGTGTAATGGCTATCGCTGGACTCCATGTAGTTGACCGTGGTTCGAGTCCTGGACCTAGTGGCTTAAACTCACGCCGGGCGCATGTGCGTGCATGCCCAAGATCCCAAGAGGAGCATGGAGCAGAGGGGATTGCAGCGTGGCCATGCCCCCTTGAGGATGATTTCTCGCTTTCTGTCTCTCTGTCTCTCTCCGTCTTTCTGGCGAGCACACGCACCCTATAGCAAAAACCTCTCAAAAAAAAAAAAAATTCAGACATTGGGTTACCAGGATTCTTTTAAATGGGAAATGCCAATGGATTATGAGACTCGAGTTTACCTTCAGGTTGTTTGACAAATGACTTAAAATTCTTCCTTCTACTTCAGTCATAATCAAAGTGACTTATGACTTTTTCCTGAACCTTAAATTCTAACCAAATAATTCTGCAATATATTATTGAAAATTATTCCAAAGATATTGGATAGGGCAACATAATACAGTTTCCAGCAATGGACAAATAAGATCAGATTGTGATTTAGCAAAAGCTCTTTGACTACAGGGTGGAGAAAGGACTATAGGGATGGGAGAAGGTTGGCTGGAAGACCCACATCTAGGCTAAATGTCGTTGTGTCTTTAAATAGAATGATGCTAATGAAAATGGAGAGAAAGGAATGAATATCAGAGCGGAGAGAAGCACATTAGAAGGCAGAAGCAACAGACCTGTAGATTACTTGTATCTGGAAAGTGAGATAAGATATAGGTTAAATGGGACTCCAAGGGTTCTGGCTTGGGTAGATGATGATATTCAGAATGCAGTAGGAGAATCAATTCTCTCTCTTGATCTTCCTTCAGGTACCTTGGCCCTCTGCAGAAGCCCTTTAGTTTGTCCACACTCTGGAAGATTATTGGACTTCAAAGGGCTGCATAAATCATGCTAATGATTGGCCTTCCCCAGCACACTGGTCAGAGTTAAGTAGAGTGCAGCCTGCCCACAGAAACGGAAACGTTAACGGCATTTGTGCCTTGGACATTCTTGAGACTGTATTTCCCATAAAATCTTCAGAATCATAATTCTCCTAAAAACCCCAAATTGAGCCTACTACCAGATTCTGCATTATCAGATCTTTAATGATGTTTTCTGAAATTCACCTTAAGGTTCTTGGGGTCATCAGAATGTCCACAAGCTTCAGTTGACAACAAGGACAATCTCAACAAGAGGTGTTAAATGCATAAACCCATTAATTGAGCCTGTGTGCTCTGCTGTGGCTTATATGATTACCAATATTCAGAATGCAGTAGGAGAATCAATTCTCTCTCTTGATCTTCCTTCAGGTACCTTGGCCCTCTGCAGAAGCCCTTTAGTTTGTCCACACTCTGGAAGATTATTGGACTTCAAAGGGCTGCATAAATCATGCTAATGATTGGCCTTCCCCAGCACACTGGTCAGAGTTAAGTAGAGTGCAGCCTGCCCACAGAAATGGAAACGTTAACGGCATTTGTGCCTTGGACATTCTTGATACTGTATTTCCCATGAAATCTTCAGAATCATAATTCTCCTAAAAACCCCAAATTGAGCC